AGGGTTTAGGGTTTAGGGTGCTAGCAAGGGTCCTGGTCCCACTGGGGGTCTTTGTTCAGGTCCTTTATCGCCTGAGATCCCATCGCCATACTGATGTGTAGCTGTGATACATAAAGCAGACCAGAAGCAAAATAGCTTAACTAGAAGGGTTTAGGAGGGTCCGGTGGGCTTAACTAGAAAGAAGGGTATGGGAGGGGGGCTTTGGCTCAGTGGGCTTCTAAGTTTGGGGGTGTCAGGTTTAGGGGTCCTTTAAGGTCGAAGGATGCTACGTAGGGTGCTGAGGTTGGGGTGTCAGGTTTCTAGAAGGATACTACATGGGGTGCTGAGGTTGGGGTGCAGGTACTAGTATTTCTCCGAGCAGCAACTGCCTCTTCAGTTCACCGTCAGACATTATGATCGCAAATTTGCTGTTGCTACTGATGACTGTTCTGACATGTTCTTCATGCACAGGTGCTGTATCGTCTGCTTTCCGCTTCCTTAGATTGGCCCGCAACAAAGCCCGTGGTAGCACTAAAAGCCATAAACGCCGACGCAATGATGTATCCTGAAAGCCTTCGCCCCGAACCCTCCAAGAACTTAAGTTCGCAACTTCAACCTGAACCCCAAGTCCAACGTATGCCAGAAGCCCTAAACCCCACCCTCCCGCCATCCATGACTAGAAGCCAAAGCCACCTATGACCAATCCTACTTGGAGCAAAAAAGACGCGAACTACATGTGTGAACATATCAAGCAGTTAGAAGCTGCAGGGGCTTCGGTCTACAGGTGAATCCCTAACAATCCTAAACCCTAAACCCTATCCCCTTGAACCCTTGCTGACCAGAGGCCTGGTGCGCAAGAGCATCGGCCAGTACGGAGCGGAGCCCCCAAGGCGGTCCCTCGCGCTACCATACTTTTCGATGGAACTGCTGGGCCTAGGGTCTAGGATTTATAACAAAACAGCCGCATGAGACCACACCTGGGCAGGCTTGAGGTCTGAGGTTTAGAGTGTGGGGCACAGAACTTGGGATGCCGGATATTCACTGAAGCCGCAACTTCACAACCTAAACTCGTATCATGATTTTCGCGCGTCGCCCTGGAAGCCCGTGGTGATCCCGCTACTGTTGCATGGCAGCCGCTTTCGTTCCTTTTATGGCTGAGGCTCTTGCTGGCCACCATGCTACTTCTTGCTGCTGCTGGTTCTGCTGCTGTTT